AACGGCAAGCACAGCTGATTCCATGAGCAATTCTACAATATTCTCTCGCTACCTACCCTTAGTCTCCCCGTGACCACGGCTGCTGCAAAGCGCCTACTTGCGTAAACTATTGACAGTATACACACCTAAAATGTGTTTTTATGGGACCTTCAAAAATACCTAGGAATATTTTTAGTTCAGTTCCCGAACACACAAGATCAACAGAACAGCAAAAAAAATAATTTTGCACCATACCTTTTTTATAAAGATTTTACACACAACTCGTGTGTGTTAACATGGTGCGGTACAATCAGTGAATTATTTGTGTGTAGATTTGTCATACCTCATTAAAAAGTGTTTTAATCGTTGCAACAAGGTACAATTAGTAACATATATTGGAGAATACCTGAAAGGACTTTCTAATTCGTATATATTTGAAGTAATAGCTGGACTTGCATTCGGAATTTTTGTCAACCACCGTCATTTTCATTTCAAAACAAAGAAGTTTAACACCTCGTATGTCAATATCTCTAATGATATTAAATTGTGACTATTGACTTGACTCAAGTCTTTTGACGTGAAACATCGATACAAGGCTTTTTGTCAACGTTATCTAAAATAAAAGTATTCTACTTTTGGAGTGAGTTCGACAGCCTTCTTTTATTTAAACCATCAAAATGGACGACCTAAGCTGGGCCTGCTGTGGGATTGGGTTTAAAGACAATAATTACGCAACATGTACTATGTGTAAGATGTCATATCACCTAAAATGTATGTCGGGCTCGTCGCAATTGAATTTTGATTCTTTAAAAGACCTGTCGTCGTGGGTTTGTCAGCAATGCAATAAACCTAAAAAGGGCAACAATGAGGAATTACCACTTACCAATCTTTCTCAGAAGTTTACCCAAAGACCTCAGAAACGTGTCGCTGTTTCTTCTCCTCCTGACCCCACCTCTGTAGTTGCTAACAGTAGTGAGATTGGTACAGTCGTCAGAGACCTACTTCATAAGGACCTGGAGGCATTATTTTCAAGACAGGAGGAACGTATGGCGAACTTGTTAGGCCGTGAAATAACACCCTTGAAAGATGATATTAAGGACCTGCAAGCTTCCCTAACTTATATAACCAAGCAATATGAGGATTTAAACAGCAAGCATGCTGCCACAATCAGGGAACTGCACGACTTACGTGAAACAAACCAACAATTACATTCTCAGAATCAGGAGCTTTGCGTAAAGATTGAACATTTGGAACAATATACACGGGGGCATAACGTGGAAATACAATGTGTTCCTGAGAGAAAAGAAGAGAATTTGCTTACAGTCATAAAGCAAATTAGTAAGACAGTAAACTTCAGTCTTAAGGATGAACATATTTCCGATTTTCACAGAGTGGCGAAGGTGAACACTGACAGCTCCCGTCCACGATCTATTATAGTACAATTCCAGTCGGCACGATTGAGGGACAATTTTCTTGGCACAGTGATTCAATATAACAAAGCCAATTCAGACAATAAATTAAATACGTCCAACATTGGATTTAAAGGAGAACCCAACCCTATATACGTGTTAGAACACCTCTCTCCGGCAAACAAAATCCTTCACGCCAAAGCAAGAACCAAATCTAAGGAACTTGGATTTAAATTTGTCTGGGTTAGGGGTGGACGTGTTTATATGCGCAAAACTGAATCGTCAAAAATTATTTTTATAAAAAATTTGCACACTCTTGAGAAGTTGGAGTAGTTGTAATTGTTGGCTTTGAATATTTTTTGCTCTTATATATTTTGTTCTTAAAATATTGAAGTAATATAGTAATTAATGTTAATATACTATCAAAATTGTCGAGGTCTCCGGACCAAAACTCATATATTCTATAGAAACCTATGTATAAGTAATTTTGATGTAGTAGTTGCTAGTGAAACTTGGTTGAACGATAAAATCTTCGATGGTGAGTTATTTGACGAAAGATATACAGTGTTTAGAAGAGACAGAATTAGCTCAGGTTTTCATTCTGATAAAGAAGGTGGGGGCGTTCTCATGGCAGTTGCAAACTACTTGAACCCGCGAAGAATGCCGATCTATGAAAGTAAATGCGAAGACCTATGGGTGACTATAACTTTAGAATTGAACAACTCGTGTATACATTTATTACTTTGCGCGGCGTATCTTCCCCCTCCGGCTAGTAAAACATTAATCGAACATTTTATCGATAAGTCCTGTTCATTTTTGGATGGTAGCATGCCCGTCTGTATAATCGGCGACTTTAATTTAAGCTTTTTGGATTGGCAATTGATCAATAACGACTGTAACTACAGAACCTCCCCGTTGGGGCATACTTTTATTGATTTTGTTAATGTAAATAACCTTAGGCAGCTTAACTATATACCAAATAGTAAACGCAGAATTTTAGACTTAGTCTTGACAGATCTCGATTCATGCGAAATCTCGCCTGTTGCTATCCCTCTCGTTCCCCCTGATCCCCTACATCCTCCTTTTACAGTCAATTTTTTCTCATCTAAAAAAACTTACCTTAAAAAAAATAAAGATAACGTTTCCCTTAACTACCATAAAGCTGATTATAACTTAATAATTAATCACCTCAATACTTGTGATTGGAAAATGCTACTTTCTAGGAATAACGTGGATGATTCTTTGGATATTTTTTATGATGTGATCACCGAAACTATTAATAAATATGTGCCCATGAAGAAATTTAAAAAGTACAGTTATCCGGTATGGTTTTCTAAATCGTTAATTAAGATGTTTAAAGAAAAGGAAAAATACAGGCAACGATATAAAAAATATAAAAATGAACTTGACAAAGTATCACTTAATATTTTAAAAAACAGATGTCAGGGCAGAGCCATACAAGACTATAATTCTTACACAGAACTTGTAGAGAAATCAATTAAAGATAACCCTAAATACTTTTGGACCTACATAAATAAAAAACATAGTTCTACAAATGGTTACCCGCGAGTTATATCTGACGGATCTGTGGAAATGACAAATGGATCGGATATTTGTAATCTTTTTGCTACTTACTTTGCATCTGTATATGCGTATAATAGTATGGTAGAAGTCATGAAGGAAACATCAACAACTGACCATACTGGTAGCAATATTCTGGCGTCCTATCAAATTAACCGTAAAGAAGTTCTTAGTCGCCTGAGAGCTTTAAACCCGCATAAAGGTACTGGTGCTGACGGCATTCCAGCCATTTTCATAAAAAAATGTGCCACGTGCCTCGACGAACCACTTACGTTACTTTTTAATCTGTCTCTCCAATCGGGCATATTTCCTAATAAGTGGAAAATGGCAAAAGTTATACCGCTGCTCAAGAGTGGCCAAGCGTCGTCGGTACAGAATTACCGTCCAATTTCTATATTGTCAACCTTTGCAAAAGTTTTTGAGTCCTTGCTGTGCCCCGTAATCCAAAACCACTTTAAACAATGGTTATCACCATCCCAGCATGGTTTTATCTCTGGTAGATCAGCGACCACAAATCTCTTAGAATTTAGCAATTTTTTAATCACTGCCGTGGATGCAAAGAAACAGTGTGATGTGATCTATACCGACTTCAGCAAAGCGTTTGACAAAATATCGCATGTATTGCTCATTAATAAATTGCAAAGTTACGGTTTATCAGGTAATTTATTATTATGGCTAAAATCCTATCTTTATAAACGTACTTTTTTTGTTGTTGCTAATGGTTATAACTCTACTATCCACAGTGTCTCTTCAGGTGTACCACAAGGTTCCCATTTAGGTCCGCTTCTTTTTAACATATTTATTAACGATATTGTCGAGTATTTTAGTTATTGCAAGCCATTTCTTTATGCCGATGATCTCAAAATTGCTGCGATTGTTGGTACACAAGATGACTCAATTCGCATTCAAAATGACTTGAATAGATTGGCTGAATGGTGTAAAGACAACGAAATGTTACTAAATTACGACAAATGCCAACATATTAAAATTACACGGAACCTAAGAGTAATCCCTACTAATTATTATTTAGATAATGAACATATAAAAGAAGTTCCAGTTGTTAAAGATCTTGGCATTTTAATCGACGCAAAAATAACTTTTGAAGCGCATCTGGACGCAGTTATCAAAAAGTCTTCCAAAATGTTAGGATTCATACTAAGAAACAGTAAACATTTTAAAAATAGCACGTCGAAAGTACTACTATTTAATAGCCTGGTCCGCAGCCACATAGAATATTGTAGTCAAATTTGGCGCCCACATTTTGCCTCACATCAATTAAGGCTCGAGCGCATTCAAAAAAAATTTATATGGCATCTAACCAGAGTCTTTTCCCCCTTTTTAAAACAAGCACCTTACAAGGATAGGGCCTCTCATTTTAAAATAATGACCATTGACAATAGGTTTAATATGGCTGACCTTTCTCTTCTCCACAAAATTCTGAATAACTTTGTAGACAGTCCTATCCTTTTATCAAAAATTAAACTTAGGATTCCTAGGAAGTACCCCCGTTTTCCCATTAAACCTTTTGCCGTTCCATTTTTTCGAACCGTCCTTGGTTCCTCTTCCGCAATCCCTAGACTTTGTAAATTAATGAACAAACATTCGTCTCACTTAGACCCTTTCCATCTATCGTATAACCGGTTTCGTAGGCTGCTCAAACTTACTCTAGAAAAAACTTAATAAGAATACAAAGAAAATGAAGAAATGTGTTTATCTATTTTTAGTTAAATAATTGTACCTTAGCTTTAAGATCTTCTCACTCTGTTTAGACTGTAATTTATTATTAAGATTATTAATTCTGTACCTATAATATTCTTTGTTGTACCACACACCATGTCTGTTTAATGCATGTAGTGCCTACCTTAAAAAGGATATGCAGATAGCTATACTCTTTATATTGTCAATATTATATATTCATACTCTGTAATACCCGCTGGCGGGCCTTTTTTAAATAAATAAATAAATAAATCATTGCAAACTAAGAGTATCATGAATTGCAATAGGTGTAAAAGAAGCGGTGAGCTAAGTAAAATGTTGACTTGTAAAACTTGTGAGCGCATGTATCATCATCAATGTCTTAGCATTTCATCGACGCACTTTAATACTTATAAATCAGAATTAGAGCGTTTATGGACTTGTCCTGTGTGTAGAGGAAATACGGACGAAGCCACTGCGTCCCAGATTCCGTCTGAAGTAAATGTATCGGGGCAAGATAATTCGGAAATGAGTACCTCAAATCTACAGACGTGCCCTGAGCAAGAGTTTTTCACGCCCGTTTCTTTGCAAGTTGAGATGCGGGAAATGATTAAAAATATTATAGTCCAAGAAACTCAGAAGGCCATGAATAACCTATTGGAAAATGTGATGAAAGTCTTAAATAATAAGTTGAATAGCTTTAGTGAGCGTCTTAAGACTTTCGAGTGCAATCTTAATAAATTGGATATTAATAAAAGTTCCTCTGGATTAGATAAGACGATCGAGCATTCACTTCAATTACCAGGCAATCTCACCGCTAAGTCTAAGCGGAAACAGCAGCGTAAAAAGTTTACTCCTACCACAACAGCTGACAACATTGCACCTCCGGCTGAGCCGCAAAGTCAGGTCTCGTTCTCTCAATTACAGGATTCAGCCTTAACTTCTCAAGTTGGTAGTGCCTTTAAGCAGGTCGCTTGTATAGGGGATTGGACGGAAGTCAAGAGAAAGAAACCTCGACAAGCTTCACGTATTGTGCAGGGAACAGCTCAATGCAATATTTCCGGATTGGAGGCATCGGAGAAAATTAGCTATTTCCACTTATTTTATGTTAAAAAAGGCACTAGTGCCGAACAAATTAGCAACCATTTACAAAATATAGGCGGCATTGAAAACTTCAACTGAAGTAGTTGAAGTACTTAATGCTCGAGGTAATTATGCATCCTTTAAATTGTTAGTTCCAACTAAGATGAATTCAGCGGTGATGTCAGGTGAGAATTGGCCGTCTAATATATGTATAAAACCCTGGCGAAGCAACTTTCGAGTCCCTAAAGTACACGAATAGATTATCTATACCGCAAGGTAAAAAGTGCACTTTAGGTGTTTATTATCAAAATGTAAACGGTCTTAAGACTAAACTAAATGATTGGAGAATGAACCTCGCAATGACTCATGACCTTCATTTAATAACCGTAACGGAGACAAATCTGGATGCATCAATTCAGGATAGCGAAATAATCTGTGGTGACTGGTCTGTGATTCGCCGTGATCGTGGTCGCCCGGGAGGTGGTGTTATGATGCTGTGGCGACCACCTGTAAAGCTAAGACGGTTACCACAATATGAAGGCGAACACATTGAAGAGTTATGGGCTAGATTTGAACTCTGCGGGCACTATATCTATATCTGTTGTGTATATTTTCCTCCGTCATGTTCTGATTTATTGTACTTTCAATGGTTTGATAGTGTGAATAATATGTGTAAAACTCTTAAATTAAAATAGTAATCATCAGATATTGAGACGGTCTCGAATATTAAATATAAATGTACGGTAATATGGTACGGATAACACGGTCTGATTTTGATCGGCGTTCCTATCAATTTGTTTAAATGTAAAAAAGTAGAGTAAATAGATATATTATTATCTATAGTAATCGAGTACTAAATATAGCCTATGTTACTCGGTGATAACGTAGCTTTCTGAAATGATGACAAAATGTATTATTATAATCGGTCCAGTATTTTTTTTGTTTACCCGTTACATACATGAATACAAAAATACACATATTTCCTCTTTACAATATTATTAGTATCTAGATATTAAATACGTTAGATTGACATTAAATTGACATCGACATTGAAGATGAAATTTTAAAAGGAAACGTTTAATTTTTGGCTTTTTCGATAGTTTGTAAAAACGAAACATAAAGCATCGTAACTGTTTGATTTGTTAATTATATTTAGAAGTTTATTGACTGCATAAAAGAGGTCCAGGAGATGTTAACATAACGTAAATTAAATAAATTGTGTTCATCAATCCAGATAAAATCTCCTACACACCCACTACAGTGAAGTTGAAGTTGAAGTGAATTGAATTATCATATATAATTACCGAGTGAATCGAGTGTCGCGCGAACGTTTCTCGTATTGAATCTTGTATCCACGCCGCGACTGTTTAAACGGAGGGACGGACGTAAAAGCACGCGCTTTAGATGAAAACTCGCAGTAGGTAAGTGTCCACTACTTATTTAGCCGTTCGTTAAAAAATGTAAAATCGATACAATTAATATTACGTGTTCTTTTTTCCACGAGATTTGAACTCCCTTCCTTAGTGAAAAAAATTTATCGGCAATACATCAGATTATCCACAGAGTAGCTATATTTGAATACATAAAACATAACATAAAAATCGAGTGTCGCGCGAACGTTTCTCGTATTGAATATGAATTAAAAAAAAAAACAAATGAAAAGACATTAACAACACGCCTACTACTTGTTCGCGCGATCGTTTCGTCGTATTGAATGAATTTAATATATAATAATAATAAAAACCATATCGTC